ATGGAGATCAGACCCCATTTCCCCTCCCCCCTCTTCCCCCCCACCCCCTCTGTCTCCCTGCTCCTCTGGCAGCTAGCCCTTATCAGTTAGGTCAGATTCCAGCTCCATGTGAGCGCTGCAGCTACCATGACTGAGCTTTAGCGACAGTCAAATCTGGGACTAAAAACAGATCAACATTGCCTGGTTGCAGCGAGCGTTTTCTGGGTCAGGACGCTCAGACATGAAACGTCTCAAAGGTCTTGTGAGAATATTAAAATGACAAGTCTGATGAAGTATGGCGTGTATTGTGAAACTTCACTGAGCAGCGCAAAAACATTAAATTCCTCTCAATATCAGCTGTTACGACAAGTGTATTAGGTGTATTCATGAGACAGGGCGAGAGTGAAAATGAGTGGTGCCTGGGTTAAGGGATCTGAGAGATGGATGGTCGGGGACCAGAGCTGAAAGAGCAAGTTCTAATCTAAAAACATGGGCGCCATCCAAAAACTAGGAGAGAACTCCATTTGTAATGCTGTGAAACTCTTGTCTGTTGGAGCTTGTGAAAAATACATGACTGCTCTTTTCATTTTACATTCTCCCTTCATGCTGGAGTCAATGATGGCCTCAGGCAAACGAGGGCACTCTGAACAGCACACTACGATAGAAAGCCAATGTATTGCTTCTCTCATCTTCCATTTCTATGCTGACACAACTCTACTTTGGCAGAATGTAAGGAGAAAAACAATTATATCTAAGCGAGTTAGCATCATGTACTTTTTGGGGCTTTATGCATGTCTGAGCGGATATATGTGAGATGAGAAAAGGTTTCTACTTTCTGCTGGGAAAAGATGGAAACAATTCTAATAATTGATTCAATTTTAAGGTAATTTTTTCTCCCACTACAAGGCGGTGCACAACTGCTTGATACTGACTCTTATGAACCAAACTGTTTATTTAGATACAAGATGATTATAAGAAAGTCATTCAGCTTGAAAATGAAATTTAAGTTTTATGACAGCGCTGATCATTTCATTTCAGCTCTTCTCCTGGGATTTGATTTTCTTACCATACAGCACAACAATCCCAGTTTTTGCAATCGTTTTGTCACGCCCCGGTGCTCTTGCTAGCCCGCGCGTTTACCTCATTGATGAAGTCTCCGATGTCTCCGGGGTGGGGTGCTGCTGACCTCATGGGGTACTGTGGCTCAGGGTGGAGGGGTCTCTCGTCTAGACGGCGGATTCCCACCGGCTTGATGGCATCAGGCTCTATCGTGTCCGGCTGCTGTAGCTGACTCAGGTCGTAATCCTGGGGAACACATAGACAGACGGGAGTTAGCTGAGCGGCGTGACGAGACCCCAAACCGAGTGTGATTATTTAAATACGTAAACACATCCTGTGCTGCACAGAAGAAGAGGAGTTCAACTGAGTGGAGGAGATTTTAAAGTTAGAATGCAGCGGGAAGAGTTGGGGGAACACAAGGGAAACTTTAATCTTCTTGTCTGTGAAGCACAAGCCCAGGGACAATTTGACACATTAAAAGAGCCAGCACTGAGGGGGTCCAAGCTGAGGACCACATCATACGCTGCAGAGTGTTTGTACTTGTGCGGCGTGCTGCAGGAAGGATGTGCAGGCGACTGTTTTGCTCTAATCAATGCCCAGACACGGGATGGTGGATATGCATAAGCCATTGCTAATCCTATTAACATTACCAAGGCAACCTGAATGGCTCGCAGTTTGTGCAAAGTCATGGGCAGGGAAGGAGGAGGAGAAAGAGTGAAGAGAGAAGAGGAGTTAGCAGAGGGGGGGAAAAAAACAGGCTGTGGTGAAGAGCTGAGCAGAGCTGAATGACTGGATGGTATCACGGTGACAGCAGATATGATAGAGAAAATGCCATTTGAGAATCAGGGTGTGTGCCTAATAAGCGTGCATGATGGATTGTCCCTCTTTAGAAGATTTTCGGTAATCCATCCATCTCTAATATCCCCCTTCAAAATTGTCTTTGCTCAGTTGCACATGTACCTACACACGAGTGCGCATGCTTGCTCACTCCCAGAAGAAGGAAAAAAAGGGTTGCAGACACTCCAATGTAAAAAAAAAAAAATAAACATGAGAATAAATAGAATTGATTGAAAACAGTGATGATGCACAAACAACCCACATATACAAACACAATGCGGGCACACACACCTACTCAACTCCACACTAATAAATATCATCTCAAATCTAAAACAAACATTGATTATTCATGTGTAATTTGATTTTACGGGGAATGACAGTAACCCTGAGGCTAGCTGGAGAAGAACGACGGTCATCACACATCACGCAATATAACGCCATCCATTATCTTTAGTCCGTTTCAGTTGGACTCCTGTTCGACCTTCTCTGAGGTCACCCACCGGAGGGGTCAGGAGTTGGTGACGGGAATTGCAATGGAGCCGTATAATGGCTGAACTAAGCAGGAAGGTCTAATGACATACCAGCCCCCCTTCAGGGAATTGACTCCTCACACGTACACTGGCCTGGCGAAATGGCTGCCCCTGGCACTCATGACCCACATTCAAACATGGGAGACGGAGCATCGCTAAGCCTTGTGAGACGTGGCTGAGCCATTTAAAACAGAACTGATTTTATTATTTGAATAGTCTTTGCCATAATTCCTACTATACCTATCTATACGGTATATTTACTTTGTATGCAGCATAGTTGCGAGCACACAGGTTTTTTGGTAACCACCAAATAAAACAGTTTAGATAATCTAGCTGAAGTGCTGTCTTACAGTAATACGTTTGACATTTTGGGGAATTTGCTTATATGCGTCCTTGCTGAGAATTTGATGAGAACATTGGTATCACTCTCATGTCTGTCTGTTCAATATAAAGCTGGAGCCAGCAGCCGATTAGCTCCGCCTAACACAACTAGAAACAGGGGTGCTGGTAGACAGATTTTGTTACCTTTGGACAAAGCCAGGTTAGTTGCTTCCCCTTTTTCCGGTGTTTGTGCTAAGCTAAGTGTCATATTTAAATATCAACAAGAAGGCCCTTGTGTTTCTTGCTCAGTTGGACTAGCTGTGGCAATATGGATCCCAAATGTACAATGTTGTAATAACTGGAATAATGGCCAAAAGGGCAAAACTAAGCCCCATGTAGCGATAAACCGGAATTATTACTTGTTTTTATCTCTGGTGACAAATACATGAGGCACTTATACTCTCTGTATAAACAGGTCTGATTCGTTTGCTTTCATTTACTACATGAAAAACAAATCAAAAGCCACACTGTCTAAGGTTAATGTGCATCAAATCATTCTGAGGTCATTTGAAAAAGCAGATGACTCATCTCAGTCTTACATTTTGCTTTTTCACATGGCGAACCTGTGCATGGCAACTTCTCAATTTGCTATTATTTCTAGATTCTTTTTTCTATGTCCAGGGAGCGCGGCCCGATCAGCTGTCTGCCTTTGATGAAACGAGTGTTTCACAAACCAATACAAACCAGGGCAATGGCAGCAGCAACTAAAATCATATACTCTGAGAGCACCCAATGGTCTGACACTTCAATTTCCTCCGCAGCGGGAGATAGGGAGAACAGAGGTGGGCATTATGAAGACCACATCGCTGGGAAAGTAAGGGCCATTTTTTACCCAAGACTGACTCTCCCGATTTCCGCAGACAAGACCATTTTCTCCTGGAGCTCTGCCCTCCTCTGCGCCACTCAAAATGGAAGCTTGTTTTCCCTCAATAAATTGCTGCACCCGCTCGTTTGCCTTTGAGGGGTGTTATATCATGTTTCCTTTCCAACGTGTTCTGGTCCACAAGTTTGTGCATTTTGTGTGTGAAAGTGAGGAAGTGAATACACAAGTGGTTGCGCTCCCTCCTGCCTAATCACTGTCTGACGTCTAATGGCTTTCCAGTCATATTGTTACCTTAGACAGAGCTTCATTATTGTGCCACAGCAGATGTCTATCTCCAAATGACATCAGCTTACCAATTACAAGTCTCCCAGGCTAATTTGGCACTGCGCTGGGTCAGACCAGGGTCTCCTGCTCGTTTCTGCTATACCCAAGCCACCAGAGCACTTTAGCTAGTAGCAAGAAAATAGCTCATTTGGTATGTTACTGCCTTTTTTATGAAATGGTTCCGTTCTGCTAACAAGCGGTCATTAGGACAATTGAATTTGTGTCTGTGTGTGCGTGATCAGTGCAGGGGGATGAAGAGATGTGACTTCATTGATGCCTGTGGCACTGCATTTCTATTGTATGTGTGTTTTTGTGTGTTAGGGTTGTGAAGCAGGAACCAGTTCCAGTTGAGGAAACACTTCCAATATTTCCAGAACTGATTGGATCAAAATGTGTTTGTCTTATTGATTCCAGATTTCGATTTCCACCTCCTTTTTAGGAAAAAAGTATACTATATCCAGTTTACGTGGAAAACTGTCTTACACCTCATTATGAATAACTGTGAAGTGTATCTTGGAGCAGTGTAATAAGCAGGACAAGCACTAGAAAGAATGTATTGGAAATGTTTGTATGCTTGTAAAAATATTATAGGTGGTCCTCTTTCTGTTTATGCTGCTTCAGTTATACAGAAACTGCTAATGCTGCATAGTGTAGATGTGACCTGAATGTTACTAACTAAAGGAGCCAAAGTTTCTAGTCATAAAAAGACAACATAATTGTTAAGGAGTGTGCACTGTATGTGTTTACCACACAATTCTTACCTGATCCTCCTCTCCACCGCCTTCCTCGTCGTACTTGAGAATGTTGTCTCTCACATCATCCTCTGGATCGATGAGGAGCTGCTTGGCCTGGCGTTCTTTATCGCGGCGTTTCATCCATACCACAAACAGCAGCACGAGAACTGATAGACAGGCAGAGAGAGAGAGAGGGAGAGAGCGAGAGAGAGGGAGAGATATCTCATATTACAAAACATAATAACTTACATATTTTCATTCAAGTGTAATCGGATCCCATGTTTTAGAGCTTGGATGGGGGCCTGATCAAGGCTATCTTTTTTGGTAATCCTACAGTAATCTAGCGGTATCTCGGATAATGTTTAGCTGTCTTTATAATCCCTGTGTGCGTTTGTGTGATGTGTTGTTTGAGAGAGGCACTGAGACACTCACTGAGGAGGATGATGATGCAGAGGAGGATGGCGATGATGGCGCCAGTGCCCAGGCCGGCCGCCATGATGTGTTGCTGGTCAGTGCAGTCCCCATTGATGTCACATTGGCACACTTTAATCCGCAGATAGGAAGTGTTGGACATGGGTAGATTGCCGGAGTCTGTGATTATGATGGGGATCTCATAGATACCAGTTTCAAGGAAGCTAATCTTCAGGCTCATCTGGGCATAGTCACCTGAGAGACGAAGATGAGCAGAGTGAATGAGTGATCCACGGTGGCTCCTTGTCAGAGCAAATACATAAAACGTAATGGGATAAGAAATTAAGTTGTTCAGTGTGTTTAAAAATAAAACATCATGTTTCTTCAGCAGAGGAGTCTTTCAGGGGGGATTAAATCAAAACTCTGAATAGTTGTTTGTATAGACCGTGTTCACAGTACGATTACACTCCTATTACCATAAATATGCAGCATAAATTCATACCTGGAAGTTGCATCAGCATATCTAATCCAAAACATGGTCAGGATTTAGATTTGGAGCTTATAAATCTACTGAATACCTTTTGATAATGCTGCTTAGGCTAAATTCCCAGTAGCGATAATCCAAATGCCATTATCCTATTAAGATATATTCACTGCTTTTCGACTCATACTGTCTAATAGCTAACAAACAACAAATTAGTTATTCCACTCATGTTGTTTAGTTCAAATTAGCATAAACAATTAATGACTGTTTGGTAATGTTAATACAATATTATATTATAGTGTCTGTGCCAGCTCCACCTGACCCTTCTGCAGTGTTGTAAGTGTTATTCAGGAGGATCACAAATCAAAGTCTTAAGCTTTAATTATGAAACAACAGACTTTTTACGGTTTTCTCACTAATTATTAAATGCCACTAATTGAAAAATAATTTTCATTTTCCAGTAGCAAATACAAATTAAGGCCAGCTCAGGCCAAAAAGCTGAACTGAACCCAACGTAAAGATTATACTCATATGTTATATATTAATATATAATATGAATCTATGTGGGATTATTTATGTGAAGTGTGTGTGTGTGTGTGTCTTACCGCTGATTCTTGTGATGGTCCAGTTTCTCCTTACATCAGGGGGGCGGTGAGCTAACTCAAAGGCAAACGGCCCAGCGTTTGGATTCAGGTCTCCATCGAGTGCGGTGATGTTGATGGCATTTGGCTCTGGCTTTTCACATATCTCTGCCTCCTGAGGGAACACCTTGGGAGCATTGTCGTTGATATCCAGCAGGTAAATCTGGAGAGTGCCTGTGCCACTTGCTGGAGGTACACCTGCATGGGTTATAAAATGACACACACACTCAGCACATACATATTTATGAAATTTATAAAAGGTTTTTTTTCTTTTCTTTTACAAATTTACATATGGATAGGAAGATATACTATTCAAATACCGTCTCTCATTTTGCAGTCATTATGTAGTCAACAGAAAAAAGTAAAGTATGGAGTTTATTCCTTGGGTCTTATGCTGAGACATTCTAAACAGCTATTTACTCTAGTGGGAGAAGACCCTTCTAAACTGCATACTGATCTGAGAATCTAATCTCAAGTAAGGAGGTAGACTGAAAAAGAGCGATATCAGAACATTTGGGTAGTGTGTGTGTGTGTGTGTGTGTGTGCGCGCGTGCACGTGTGTGAGAGAGACCGAAGAACGCCTTCCTGACGAAGGACACGGGATGGGAATACTAAAGCAGACAAACAGAGCCCACTGTCGCTCCTCTCAGGCTCCTCTATGTATTCACTCAGCTAAGAGGCTTTTTTGCCATTCAGGCCACGCTCAAAGGAGCTAGTCATCCAATCCTGACCCATTAATGCTGAGAAACCTCTTTATTGGTAGAGTTTTTAAGCCTATTGGCCTAAGCTATGCTCCGCAGAACAGGGTAAACCTGAACAGAGGTAAATCCCACCAGTGCAGGGAAGAGGTGAATGTATCCACATGCTGGATGGTTCTGGGATTGCTAGCACATTAACCTTCAACTAAGGTGGTCAGCGTTTCAGACATGCCAAGTGCCTGGTACAAGGTTGACCTTCAAGCATGGAGGATGTCTTTGTGGCTGCAACTGAGATCGCTTTACTCAACAGATACAGTGCAGTTTATGCACTGGCTTCAGGTGAAAAACATCACAGAGGGAGTCAAAGTGATGCTAGGTGGAAGATTGACCTTTAAGAGCTAGGCTACATTAGACATCCCCATGCTTACTTTTGAAAAAGGCAGCATTATCTACTCCTGAATGCCCTAACAATAATGGCCTGGAATAGAGTGCTTGTGCAACCGCCAGGCTAAAACACCTAGACCATGTAACCAGTGCATCACAAGAGCTCAACGAGGTATTTTTGGCAACTGCAGTACCACTTGAATGGTTACATACCGCTGTCAGAAGCCAGGAACGTTGCATTGTACAAACTGTTCTTCACGAAAGGTGACTCTCGGTCCAAAATGGCAATTGTTGTGATACGACCGGTGTTCGGGTCAATCCTTAGCCAGTTGGCTGGATCGGAGAGTTTAGAGTATCTGAGGGAAGAAGAAAAAGAGACATACATAGATTATAATCCTTACTATTCACTTCAATCTGAAACTTAAGTCATTCTTTGTCTGCACGTTCTTTTGTAGAAGTAGTGAAAAAGTTTAAAAAGGGTACATTTTGTTTTGTGCAGAAGTAAATTGTGTTTGTGAATTTAGTCTTCATTTCCAGTTTGGCATCCCTTTCTTCTAAAAACACTTTTGTTTTTATTTGTTTACACGGAATAAATATTTTAAACATCATGCATTTTACATAATTATTCCAACTTTTGAGAGCAGCCTCACAGGGGAGACCAAACTGGTTTGTTGTTATCAGTAGCTCAAACTAATTTGTAGGACAAACCGTGGAATTACAAAGCTAGCTTATTTCCCATGGACTGTTTTCAGGCAGATAAACTCTTCCGCGGCCATACAGCTGTGAGGCAAGATGATGAAAAGGGAAAAAAATAGGGCTTGCTCAACAAGAATGAGATGGAGAATGCTGGTTGGATAGTGTTATTTGAGCGGGAATGATGCAGAATGTGACCAGGGTGGCAAGTCAAGAGTTAAGCTATCGTGTAAGGCACAAAGGAGCACTGTATAATCAGTGATAAACCTATGGGCATTCTTATTGCTGTTGTTGCTAATTATGTTGCTATACTTGTATTATAAAATATGTTTTAAACATGTGCACTGGATGCTTATGGGAGAACAGACAGTCTAAGAAATGAAGCTAACTTCATATGCTTCATAAACCTTTGAACTAGAGCTGGATCCCTTGATAGGTATACAATGGTTCACTCCAACAGTACTCAACCTCCTCCTCCTCCTCCTCCTCTCCCGTTTCCTTTTTACTGTAAAATCTACCTGATGGTTTGCTGCATGAAGCGATCAGGGTCCTGTGCCGTGAAGGTGGTCAGTGATGATTCAGGCATCATTCCCTCCTCCAGTTTAACAAGTTTGGGGTTGGGCTCGAAGTAGGGACTCTCGTTGACATCGATCACTCTGATGGAGACGGTGGCGGTGGACTGACGGGGAGAGTGGATGCCTCTGGCCAGAGGAACCTCGTTCCTCGCTTCCACTGTTAGCACATACGTCCTACTGATTTCGTAGTCAATAGGCTGGAAAACAGTAAGATAGAGTATAAAGCGAGGGAGTCACACATCGAAATGGAGGATAAATAAACAAAAGGAAATCATATCACATTTTTGGTAATGTGAGAGAGAATTAAAGCTTTTTCTTTCTCCTCAATGAAAAAAAACCTTACTGTAACAGTGAGCTGAGATAAAGAACACTGTATCCTTTTGAGGTCAGTTGTAAGGATACACAACGGGAAGAGAGCTGGTGTAAGAGTTGTGTAACCAACTAATACTTTTTAAAATGGAAAATGTTAAAATTGTGTTTTAATGATATATTATGAATTTGAATTTTCAAATAATTCATGCTGATCATTTGCTAATAGCATGCTGCTTTACACAATGCTTCTATTATTTAAACAACTTAACTGGACAGTGGGAGCGAAATAACATTTAGTCACAGACTATTATAACTGTCATATATTTAACCAACTAATCTAATCGAATTAATATCAATCTGAATATTAATGCCACCCCCAACCATATCAGTGTGGCATACATACATCCACTATATACATCTCCAAGGGATTAAAGGGGTGGGGTTTTAAGAGGAGGCCTTACCTTGACGACTGTTACTAGGCCCTCGTTAGTGGTCGGATCAGTGGGCACAGAGAACCTGCCGGTGGGGTCGCCCCCGGTGATTTTGTAGACAGCATTCCAGGCCGGGGTGTTGGGCTGGTCCTTGTCAGTCACCGTCAGGTTGGCCACAATGACATTCACACGGTTTTCAGGCACCTCACCGAAAAACTGCATGAATAAACCATGAACGTACAGAAGAGCGAGCTGTTAGTGATACTGCTGTGGCAGCAGAAAATACACCGAGCTCTGCCTCAGACAGCACAGCAGGACCAATCCTGGGTAAATAGACATCTAAGGTAACTTATCATGTCGTCATGGTCATCTCATTCCCTGTCCTCCCCTGATAGCACAACGGTAGCATTACAAATTTCAGTGATTCGCGAGCACAGTAAGTGCCTCTTTCACTCTGGCAGACATGCCCGTAGTTGCATGTGTCAACATTTGGAGGGGGATATAACACTTAACGCATGGCTGGCCACTTGTATATTTGTATGGCTTCAGAAATGCTGGGCAAGCAGAACTCAGTAAGGGAGCAGAACTGACAGTTGAGTGCATATATCCACAATGGGGTGAAATAGGGGTCCTTATGATGCTTTACTTTCGCTAAGATTATTGTGTTGGTGTCTCTGATAGGAGTCTGTTTCTTACCGTCTCAGCAGTAAACTCTGGCGGATTGTCATTAATGTCAGTGACTCTGATGACAGCGGTGGCTGTGTTGGAGAGGCCGTACATGGGGTTGCCCTCCATGTCAGTGGCCTGGATGATCAGCGTGTACTGAGGCACTTTCTGGAGGGAAAGGGAAGAGAAGCAGTCGCAGGATTAAAACACAATTCTCTGATCTCTGAACAACAGAATTCATTCTGTAGCCATGTTTGGAGTATGTGAATTTGCTCACTGAATTAGCAGTTAATGCAATCCAACCAAATACTCAGATAATTCCTATCTTATGTCCTATTTTTATTTTACTTAATATTCTACCCCCCTTTGTATGTTTCTTAAGAAAAAACATTGAATATAACTAATTTCAACAAAAAAAACTGCCTCAAACTACAACCTCCAAAATGACCATACAAGTTGAATTTGTACTACAAAAACTGAAAATTCAATAAACATAGATAAACATAGGATCTATTTCTGGACTATTGTTTTAGTTTGCTATAGACTTTATAAGTGCCCCTAATAAGCTTTTAACTTTGTGCACACCAATATTAATGTGTTTCCCTGAAATGAAACAAATCTAAACTGGCTAGCTTCTTAATTATGATGACTAATGGCGGCTTTTATTATAAATGTGATATAGTCTCTATGGGGGACGAGAGTTTACGCGTGCATGTGTGAAACTTGCACCTCTGCTTTGTACACCATCATGAAGCTAACAAATGACTCTTTTCACATTAAAAGCCACTCAGGTGACGGACCAGTTGCTAGGTAATGAGAGTCGGGCAAATTACTTTCATGGTGGCAACTGGCGGACATAAAACGGCGGCCCCAGGGCGGAAGTGATTGAGCAGCCACCTAGCCAGATTGCCCTCACTAGAATTGCACCAACTGGCTCCAGCTTTCTATATTTTTTTGTTTATTTTCTCAAATAGCCATGAGATCCAATTAAATGACAGAGTGGTAGCATTTACAGCACGGGAAATAGAGGGAAGGAAAATGCAAGTAAAGCTTCTGTTTTAGAGAAAGAAAGACAGAGAAGGCGAGAATGAGGGAAGGGAAACATTTAGCTGCTCAGTGAAGCACGCTGCCTCCTTGTAAGAGTAAATAAGTGTGAAACAGCCAAGTCCATTTCTACTTTCTCATTTAGTTGGTAATCAGCAAATTTCACTTTGGCTCATTAGGTCTCAGACAGTCTGGATATTAGCAAATATACTCATGCTGTGTTTTGTCATCATATTTAAAAGAAAAATACGTAGCCCATTTATAAAAACATAGAAAATGGATATATTGTTATACATCTAAAACAGGCGGAAAATGCTAGAAGAAAATGAATTAACATAAATAGATGGCCTGGCTAATGAAAATCTTACTTAAATACTGATACAATCCTCTTATTAGCAGTCTACATTCACAAACACAACACCAGCAGCAACATTAAGGTGTATGAAATCAAACGAAAGATGGAAGAGAGACAGAATGAAAGGCCACAAAGAAGGAAAGAAAGAAGACGTGTCACACACCTCTCTGTCCAGGCCTGCAGCCACGGTAATGATGCCTCCTGTTTTATTGTTGATGGTGAACATATTGGAGGTCGGACTCTCTGGGTTCTGAGAAAGGATCTTGTAACGCAGCATCCCATTAGCTGTTTTGGGGTCATCCTTGTCAACAGACGTTACTGTCATAACAAATGTTCCTACGGGACAGAAAGACAAAGACACAGATCACTTTAATACAGCAAGAGCAAAGTTAATAGAGTGGCCACCCCAGGAATACCATCAATGCTGTTTGATCTGCTGACACTAAAGCAGCATGTGAAGCCGAAGGCTCAGAGTACAGCCAATCGGTTGTGTAAAGTGCTTGGCTTTATACGTTATATTACCTGGCTTGGAACCCTCTGGAACAGTGCCATTCCAGATCTGATGCGTGAACTCGGGTCTGTTGTCGTTCATGTCAATCACATTGATCACGATGTCAATAGGGTTTTCTACCTGGTTGCCGTTCAGGTCCACTGCGTGAGCTCTCAGCTGGGGGATACACAAACACATGTAGACTTTAGAACAGTTAAAGCAAGGACTATGCTCAACTATGCAAAACAACATACTGGGACAAAACCACAATCCACTCAATGTCACCAACTAAACTGCTGTGATAATTAACCCGACTAACCATTACTGAAAACAGTTTACTGTATGTAAAAAAGCAAACAGCAACCCTCTTTATTCAGACCAGCGTGACCAAGAGGGGAATTCTGTTTTTATAAAGAACACGTTCTTCCCACAACTAACTCTAGCATGTGCAGGGCAACAGAGAAACAAATGATTAGATTTAGTCAGATACCTGCCAGAGTCGACAACAACACAAGCCTTTTAGCTGGATTTTTATGGCCGTCTCGTGAAAGAGATACATTCCCGATTTTATTCTGTACTGTTACCTACACTGGGTCAGGACGGGTTCAGTTCTGTTTTATGAAAACAACTCTGCTGCATTTTTTTGCACTTCAAGTGTATCTTTTCCTGCATACACACAACTGCAGGGTTGGTTACACAGGATTTCAACTCATGGATATATCTATATTTTGATTCCATCCATTCATGCTCTAGAATAAATACAGGCAATACAGTATATATTGAAACTCTACAGGCTGTGAACTGTATACATCATTTGCCTTTGCATGTAATACTTTACAGTCTACTTCAGGTGTAAAATAATTAATGGATTATACTGTAAGTCATAGTGGCAAGTGCATACAGTAAAATTAATAGTGCAAATGACAGGAAGTACAGGGGAACAGCTGCCCCTGTAATGCTCTGCAGTTTACAGTTCACATACAGCTTAAATTGAACCAGTATGGACATCTGATACATCCCAACGTAGGGGTCGCCAGAGCTTCATGGAGGGTCGCAAAGCCTTCTTGATTTTAAAGCATGCTAGAAAACTTAAAACATACACACAGTAGGCCTATATCTCAGCATTTGGTTCACTTCTGTGAAGAAAAGTAAATGTAAGTTGTCTAACACAACAATGCCCAATTGCCACGGACAAGAAAACCTATTAGACATTTATGATTGTTAAATGATTAAAGAAAATATACAAATAGAACTGTATAAAAAGTTCCTTAAATTAACTGGGTTTACACACATTTCACGTCAGTTTACTATATGATAGAAAAGGTGTCACCTAAGGAAAAGATTTGGGAACCACTGCTCTAGTAGATGAATATGCTGAAGTCATTCATTTAATTTTAACTACAACCTTGCTTGATGTCTACCAGTTTATCTGTCTAAGCACATGAATAAATAGCATTATAAACGATGCTATATAATTTAAAGGCCAACGCAATGTAATGGGTGAACAACAAATGAATAAAGCAGCTCTGAATGAGCTGGAGGTTTGTCATAACGTATCTCACACACACACACACACTCTCTCTCTCTCTCTCAGTTCACTCAAAAACATCAAGTTAAATCCTTTAAATTCTCAGACGGATAAGTCAGATTTCCTGGGAGACCCCAGTCTTCAGTGAATCTGAGGAGACCGTTGAGGCTACACATGACCATTAAGCACACGCCAACTGGCAGGAATGTACAGCACTGCCAGAGAGAACACATTTCTCTAAAGCAGGCTGGAAACACCATTTGAAAATCATAAGAATATAATTAAAGATGGGTTTTTTAAATAAGCTATTGTGTCGGACTTACATGGAAGTTGGAGATGTGCTCTCGATCCAGGGGCTTGTTGACTGATAGCTCTCCAGAGATCGGGTCGATGATAAAGATACCGGTGGGGGGTTGGTCAGCACCAGGGCCTGTCACACTGTATCTGAGGGACCGGTTTTTGTCATGGTCCGACCGGATCTGTGGTTGAAAAGATTTGTTAATAAAAGCTTTAAAACAGAACTTGAGCCTTACTAAATTTATGTACTGAACATTTATGTGCGTGTGATGTTTGCTTATTGGCTAACACCTATTATTTTCAGTTATTTATTTTTCATTGATTAATTGTTAATGGTGTATAGTGTTTAAACAGTAAAAAAATTCAATGCCCCAAAACAGAAAATCTTTGTTATACGGTTATTTGTTTTCACTATACAAATGCCTTGTATACTGACTGACTTATCGTTTGCGCATAAATCACAATATCAGTAAAAACAAACACAGATGGGGTGACATTTTCCCCATGTTCAAAGCAGACGTGTTCAATTGATTCACATCATTTTGATTCTCAGCAAACCATTCCCTGACCCCTTATGTCCTGCATGAAAGCATCATATTTCTCCACTCTTTCATTCAGGTTTTCCTTTATTTTGTCACCTGTCTGTAGTTTGCTGTGTAAAACATACTGTGTATAAAGAGTGTGTGTCTGTGCAGTATTGAAGTTCTGTCTTGGCTGGGCTGTCTATTATGTTTGCCATGTAAGCCGAGACCCTCTGTGCCTACACCCTAGATTCAAGCTGGGCAAACAGAGTATTTCCTCAGTCTGATATCATCCACTAAAGCTGAGAAACATCCCTTCTAATATGGCTGGATTAAATATAATACATACAAATAGAATGTACACGACTTAACACTCGGTAAGGAAGTCAGCTTAATATGCTGAAAAAAGGATCTACTTCTTAGCTGTCCCGAGTATTGCTTGTCCTCTGTCAGCCACCCACACTCAGCCCTGACCAGAGAGCTGATGCAAATGAATTGGGCTGTGTATGTCCTTGAGAGCCAAGATAAAAGGAGTGTAATATCTCAAAAGGCAACCAAGGAACAATTTGCGATGGTGAGCAGTTCAGATTTCTCTCTACTTCTAAATAATGCCAGTTTACATTGGTACCGACCGCCCCCTGAAACACAAGATAAATAATACAGCGGAAAAAAGAGCCCTGACCTTTAGCAAAGTGCTGTAAGTATGAAGCATTTTGTTGAAGGCATAAGTCTCATGTCTGTGACCCTCTGAGTCGGAGCTCAGGGCATCAGGGACCTACAAGGTTGTCATATCAAGCAAAAAGCATTTTCTTTGAAGTTGTGGGAGTGGTGTGTGTGTGTGTGTGTGTGTGTGTGTGCACATATGTGCTTGGGTGAGCTATGTTACCCGGACAAGCTCTTGCGGGAATGGGCCTCGTGAGTTCTCTGGGACATTGATTGGGGGGATGACCCAGTCTCTCTTCATTCGTTTGAGTTGGCTATCCGTGTTTCGTGATGGAAACGTTATTTCCTTCAAATCCTTGGATATGACTGGAGGGACAGCAACTTCCTGGACCTGTGAAAAGGAAATGATTTAGTTCAAGAGGTGGGTACTGACCTATCTATGCAATAAAATATGGGTACATACATTTTTAACCACGCTAGCGGGGTGAAATATCTCAACTACTGGATGGACTGTCATTTTATTTTCTACAGACATTCATTTTCCCGAGAAGATGAATCCTTGAGTGATCTTCACAGCCACCATGATGTTAACATTTGTGGTTTTGAGTGAAATGTCTTAACTATTGAATGGATTACCATAAAATTAGGTGCACACATTCATGTCGCCCTCAGGATGAATTGTAATTGCTTTGGTCTTTCCAGCGTAGGGCTGCCCCCTAATAGTCGATGAGAAGAGTCTTGGTTGACACACTTTTTATTTGTCACTATTTGATAGTCGGAGAAAAGCAAAAACAACATCAAACTTGCAACACGGACCTTTTCTCACAGGGACTCACTTACCGTTGCAGTGTTGCATATGATAACTGCACTAGCAAGTTAGTGGTCCTATTAGATGCCATCTTGCCAAAGTACTCCCTCACATTGCGGGCATGGCTGCGGACTCTTGGTCTTGTTCTGATTATCCTGCATGAATCAACGCCTTAATCCTGATCGTGTAACAATTAGCCTACAATCAACAGCAGCACATGCCAACGCACATACTGACCTTACTGCAGAGAATGGCATTGTCGCCTGACCAACGGCCCTTCCCTTTTGGTTATACAAAAAGGAAATTGATGTGGTGATAAAAGGAAACAGGCTGCCATTTTCTGCAAAACCTAATAAGCTCCTTCAAATGTCACTTAGTACCTATTCAAACTGTGTGTTCAATCAAACAATCCATTCTTTTGTGGCCTTCTTTGTAGCTAAAATATCTGCAGTACAACATGTGATGATATGCCTTGTAACGCTTTGGTGTGGCTACTGTTTGGCTACAGCAGCAGTTGCACACCGCCAGCGCTGGTCTGCTTTAAATGGCAGACCTCTTCTTATGTCCTGATAAAATGCACCCACACAGACAGACCAGCTTCCATAATGGATCTGCCATCCTCCCTCGCCTGTAATGAATGAGATTTGAAACAAAGGAGGATGGTACCTGCAAGCCAGACACTAAACACACAGATGGCTCAAATTGCCTATGCTGCTCCAGAGACTGAGGAGACTGAAATAGTGCCAGAGAAAGTTAAAATAACCTTGAACAAAACAAGGCAGGAAGGAAAACAGAAAAACAATATGTAAAACCCGTCAATGTCAATGACTGATAGCTGGGGTTTCAATGCAACTGTCATGTCGCTTGAAGTATTTTTTTCTACTGTTGTCTATAATCATTTGAATGTTGATTGGTCGATTGGTGGTGAAGCCATACAAACTGCTACAAAGTGTTCTTTGCAAACAGAAATTAATTACCACTTTGCCACCTTATAACGTGACCCACATCCCACGCTACCCCTCCTCTAACATCTGGGGAGCTGTCGGAGAGCTTCCACTAATCATGTTTGAAATCCGATTATACTGCTTTCACACATTGGAAATGCAGAGAGGCAAGCGGACAGATAGCGAAGAAGCATGCTTCAGAAATATCTATTACCCTATTAAAATGGTTGCGAGTGAGAGCAGTAATTATTTGCAACCTGTGTCTGGAATGATGAATGGCATGGTGGGTTTGTTCAGCCCAACACGCATCTATCTCTGGTGCGTTGGAGGTCTGCACCTATCCACACTCTCTGAACCCCCTCCATCTTCCGACTAGGAGTCTACTTCAGAGTCCAGGAGAGTGTTGGGCTGAGTGATGGCCTGAGTGTGAGTGTGTGGGAAGGATTAGGCATGTGCGTATTTTGCCCTTTTAGAAAAATTCTCTCTTTCAGATACTGAAACATTCTCTCTGCACGGAACTGCGGTGGAGTTCTAAGGGATGGAGACAGTGGGCGAGGACACTCATGTTAATGAGGATATTGTTTGGTTGTCATTGATTAAAATGTTTCCCCAAGGCTGCCACATTCACGGACTAATAAAAAAATGTAATCGCTGATGTGATTAAGAGATGCGTGATGATTCATGACAATAATTATGCTGTGGGGAAGACAACCGCTCGCGACCTCATAAACGTGCGAGATACGGGAAAGTCAATCCCTGATTTCATTACGGACAAATCAGGACAAACCCAAGAGCGCTCTACAGATACAGATCAGAGGAAGGCTGCTGATGGTACAGCTGATAATTTGTATACACATGTATAGCCAATGTGAGGTTGTGGCTTTTATTTAAAAACCTAAAAAAAAAAAAAAATCTGCTGAAAATCTATGTTTACCTGTTTGGGACAAACATTTGCCTTTGACTAACTGCCAACAGTGACTGATGGTATCATTAAAATCACATACCTGCAGGAGTCCCTATAGTGAATGAGTGTCACTGGCTAACGCTGGTATTTTGAAAAGCCATGAAATCATTACTAGCTAAACGGTTAATTTCAACCAGCAGACCAATATGCCCACAGTACTGACAGTAACTACACATTACTGTTAGTATTAACTTTGAATCTGCACCCACATAAAATATGACGCCTGCCTTTCATGAGATTATCTGCTGTGCTCTGCACTTAGAAATAACCACTTTGCTTAAGTGTATTAGAGGGATAGAAAAGAAAGGCATATTGGTCTTTGTAAAACAAACAAGATTATTGCATTTGGGGGTGTTCATTAAGACACCAGAATGTAATGATCTGAGATCTCACAGCAATGATTATTAACAAATGCGCATAAAGGCCCACCTATAGCCCTACAGAATGGGTCAGGATGGAGGCTAGCTCACAGAGTCGAGAACAGCATGTGTGTGTTTTTGGTGTGTGTGTGTGTGTGTAGCATCACAACTGTAAGTTTAAAGCAACATATATTATCTAATTGAACAGGATCACATAATCCACTGGCACTGAAGTTAAAACCTAACAATAACACAGCTTCTTTTCATTTCCTGGTTACAGGCAGACGGATGGGACATGTGCAGTGCTTTTTTGTGCACTTCCTCTGATCCTCAGCCAACCACAATGTTGACATATGAGCACATGGTCATTCTAACTAATTGCAGATGACTGCACAACACGTCCAGCGGAACGGTTAGAGCAGCGCTCTACAGCTCAGACAGATGCTTCCTGTCTTCCAAAGCACTGAAAGAGGTGCGTAACCTTTTGGATGATAAGGCAATAACCTCACAAGCACAAGGCATGCTCACTGAAATCAACTTTATGAGGAGCTATTTTGCATCTGCTCTTGCTACCCACTGACCGTGTTGAGTATATGTTTGTGCTCCTAGTAAATTGACACATTAAGTTTTAATTAGCGAGCATCCATCCAGTCTCTCGGAACACCTGCTACGATTTAGGGAACCAGTCATCTGTGAATGTGCAGTATGCCTAATAAGCATAAGTTATTTGTTGTGAGGGGAGAATTGATCATTCCACCTTTCTATGGCAGTAAGACAATCAACAAACAAGTAAGATATATTATGGAAGTGGTTAAGGTATATTCACCTGCTGGCTGGAGTGCGTGGAGGGCATCAGTCTGACTTGAGTCACCCACTGCTGCTGAGTGGCGGTGTCACTAGCCTTGATCAACAACAGCAACGCAGGAAGTGTAGAGTGCTCAATACTCCTGGCAGCATAAACTACTCCGTCGGCCTCTATCCGGAAGTCAGATGGGTTACTGCATTCAAACCGCACCAGACCGCCTCGACCACAGTCGACAAACCTCACTGCAAAAGACAGGGACAGATACATTTTAGAAATTAGCCCGACAGTGAGATAGAAACCTAGAAGAAAAACTAGGGATAAAGACAAGAAAGGGGAAGACACACACACACACAGACCGACAGACAGGAGGTCCACAAAGGTTTTCTGATTCTCCTTCTCACTCATACATTATTCACTTCAAGCTGTGCCCCAAAGGTATTGCTCAAAACAGGTGCAGTGGAGGAGAGAGTTGGAGGGAGAGGAAACTAAAGAAAAAAAGGGAAGCGTGCCCCTTAAGGGCTATTAAAGAAGAACCCCAAAACCCAAACCGTTACATTTAAAACCTGATGTGTAAATTAGACTGTCTTAATGCCCCGCTGTGTTTGGCTTTGAGTAAATATATACAGCATGCATATATAAATGTAATTCTTCTCGATAGGTCTCCTTTTATTTCTAGCTAAGGCCATCGCATGCTAGCTTTGTCCTCCATGACATACAGGGATGCCTTCCGCGGATGACTACCGATCCCAGCTCCTCAAGAGACCAAAGGAAGTGCGTGTGATGTTTATTTCATCGGCATTTTCACACAGAAACCCACGCACACATACGTACACTGCAGACAGGTGGCTCATGGGGGCTCGAGTCCCTCCGGTGCCTCGGTGGCAGTGGTACAACACCAGTTCATGTTACAAGTGAGTGACAGTACAGCACAGTCTATGTAGTTCGTACATGTACACACACGCATGCGCGCGCTCACACACACACACACCACGCTCTACGACTTCAGAAGCTTCATTGTGTGAGCCTTTTGTGTGGATGTGGTTTGCCTGGCAGGCCCCCCTCATGTTTATAGCACACAAAATGGTATAAAAGGAAAGGAGAAAAAAATCCTCCTGGCTACAGGGATCACAACGTCACCATATATCATTTGTGTGGAGGTTCTGCTAGTGCCGCTTTGAATTATTAAAGCAGATGTGGAAATACTTAACAAAAGCCTTGAAGGAGGGTGCCTAATCCTCCTTTGTGTTGCTACTTTGGGGACCCACTGATGTCTTCAGAGTATCATCTGCACTTGCACATCGAGTTCCTCTGGGCTTGGGGAGAGGATGCAGTAGAATAGTTCAGGGGTCTAAAGGAAGTCATAAGTTGAACCCCCAGGCTCAATTTAATAATCACTTAAAGCATGCAATCAAAGTGCACCACGCCCTACAACTAATGAATCTCTCAGTGATGACAGCGGCGAGTCAGATAGATGCCCTTGGTCCCAGAACTGACAAAGATGTACGTGTTTTCTTAGTGAGCAACTAAAGGCAGAATCTCAGAAAGCAACACAGCGGCAGGAAAGGGAAAGTAAATCTTAAAAAAAAAAAAACTATTACTGAAACGAGAATGCAGTATTTCGATTTGTCCACTCCTTTCTTTAGCAAGAGCAAGTGTCCCATACAAACTAGTATGTTTTCAAATGTGAGACGTATGATGCAAGAGAGAGGGG